AAAATCACATTCTATTGTCTAAAGAAAAGTGGTATCAGAATCAATATCGAGCAGAGGTGGGACCAAGTCTTTGTTTTGCAGGTCTCAAGTCTTTGACCTCAAGTCCGAGTCAAGTCCCAAGTCAAACGCAGGCAAGTCCAAGTCGAGTCTCGAGTCACTGGCCCATAAGTCCAAGTCAAGTCCAAGTCGTCTGCTTTGAGCTTCAAGTCATTTCAAGTCTTTAAACCAAAGTACCAAATACAGCTTTGATTTTTGCAATTTATATGAGTTTTAAACTAAATTGTTCTTAAAACGTCATGGCATATTTATACATGAGTATTTATTTAAGAGTTGTAGAAATGCAATTTTGTCCTTTTTAAATGTTTTGATAAAATCTTAGTGTGAATCATTACGGTCACAATAGAAAAAAAAATCTGATTTAATAACGGTTATTTTGTCGTGTCATCTGCACTGAAATGGAAGGATCATGTTGTACTGTATATTACTGTAGTACATTTGAGTATCACAGTACTTCAGTCACATCCAAAGTACCAAATAGAAGTGGCAGGGACATGTTCCAGTTTGTTCCTTTAAAATCCAGCTCCCCATTTATCAACTATAAAGAGAAAAGTATTTTATAAAAACATATTTTTTTTAGGAGAAGCATCAAGTCTTCTCCAGTCACAGGCTTCAAGTCCAAGTCGAGATCTAAGCCTTAGTCCATTTTATCAAGTCTCAAGTACGGAAGCCGAGAGGGGTCACAACAAAAGCAAACGCCCAAAAAAAGCCACAACGGAAATGACCGCGGGACTCTATTTTAATGGCAAACGCCGCAACAAATACAAACACCACAACACAAACGCAAATGCCGCAACACTTTAAAAAGCCACAACGGAAGTGACCGCGGGACTCTATTTTCCGACGGACCGATCAAGCAGCAAGTGAAAAAGAAGAAATACAAAGTGAAACGAATAATGATAAAACAATAAATTATTTTTATTTACGTTTCCAACTTCTCCGTTCCTTTACTTTTCACATTGTAGTTCTTCTTCTTCACTTGCCGTTGTGGCTTTTTGATGTGTTGTGGCTTTTTGATGTGTTGTGGCTTTTTGATGTGTTGTGGCTTTTTGATGTGTTGTGGCTTTTGTGTTGTGGCGTTTGTATTTGTTGCGGCGTTTCCATTAAAATAGAGTCTCGCGGTCATTTCCGTTGTGGCTTTTTGATGTGTTGTGGCTTTTTAATGTGTTGTGGCTTTTTGATGTGTTGTGGCTTTTGTGTTTTGGCGTTTGTATTTGTTGCGGCGTTTCCATTAAATAGAGTCCCGCGGTCATTTCCATTGTGGCTTTTTGATGTGTTGTGGCTTTTTAATGTGTTGTGGCTTTTTTAATGTGTTGTGGCTTTTTGATGTGTTGTGGCTTTTTAATGTGTTGTGGCTTTTTGATGTGTTGTGGCTTTTGTGTTGTGGCTTTTGTATTTGTTGCGGCGTTTCCATTAAAATAGAGTCTCGCGGTCATTTCCGTTGTGGCTTTTTAATGTGTTGTGGCTTTTTGATGTGTTGTGGCTTTTGTGTTGTGGCGTTTGTATTTGTTGCGGCGTTTCCATTAAAATAGAGTCTCGCGGTCATTTCCGTTGTGGCTTTTTCTGGTGTGTTGTGGCTTTTTGTTGTGTTGTCGCGCTTGTATTTGTTGCGGCGTTTGCGTTCGTTGTGACCCCTCTCGGCTTCCGTACTCAAGTCCTAAAAACGGTGTCTAAAGTCTGACTCGAGTTCACGTCACGACTTGCAGGTCCCACCTCTCGTATCGAGTATCAAGTCTATCCCTTAGTATCGAAATCAAGTTGTAGATTTCAGTATCGTGACAAGTTCAGACGCATGTATCTTGTGAACATCTGTACATTTTATTGCCATGACATTTCAGACTCGACTGTGTAAATTAATACATGATCTACTTTCCAAATGCGCAGAAAATAGTCTCGAACACCCACTCAGACGCCGATGGCCTTTGACAGATTACATCGCTCTGAAAACCACATTAAATAACATTAACATTAACACATGGCTGGTAGTGCTTTTCTCTGTTGTTTGGTATTTGTAAATGGAACTCGGAAAGCTTTAAAAGCCTGTGTAAAAAGCTTTTTATTTTGTCCCTGCGTGGCATTTAAACATTATTAAAAAAGGCTCCGACGCTTTTCCGAATGATAAATAAACGTATGCAGATGAGACACTCTTTTCCCCTTCACGTGAAAAATAGACCCCCGCCAGATGTAATGCACGACCTATGAAATATTAACCACAAATCTAATATTTCTTTCTTCTTGTGTTTTTGTTTTTGGGGGAACTGGATTTGAACTTAATGAAATATGCAAAAGGTACAAATGGATCTCGAGATTCCAAGTTTTTAGTGTTGCGCTGGTACTTTGGATGACTGCGTTTAATAGCTGTGTCTGTAAAAATGTCGATCACAACTCATTTTGGGATGAACTTTTCTGGCATATATGAAGGAAATCATATCATAGGGCAATTTTTACTGCTGTCCAAATGTCCAGTGAGTGAAAAAGTATGCAATGTGTTTCCAGAGAAAGGTCTTTAACTGGGCACAACGCGAATGAATGAAGCAGTTTAACGAATTACCGTGGACTCGTGATTATAAATAAACCACTTAAGGTAAACAAGGTCATAATAAGCTGGTAGACAGATTTTATAAACAACAAGGGTGTGTTAGTCTCAGTGTAATCAGCTCAGTGAATAAAAGAGAATAGTTCAGGCGAGGGTTGTCAAAGTGTAAAAAATATGATACTAATGGATACTAAACCTGGTATAAAAGCAGATAGAAGCATCGGTTTAACTTCTAACTTCGCTTGGTTGTTTAAGTTATTGATGAGATGGGTATTCTGGTTGTGTATTTTCTCTGGAAGGTCTTCAGCCACATTTGGTGTCACGTCTAGCATCTCAGTCGTCCCTGTTTACCCGGGACAGTCCCAGTTTTGAGTCCTGTGTCTCCTGTTCCAGCAGATTTATACAAAACCACTGATTTGTCCCAGGTTTATATAAGAAATGTCCCAGGTGTCCCTATTTTTGATCAATCCTGTCCCTGCCTACAGTAAATAGAGGCACAATCCCGCCTTCTATTGAATGTCGATAGTCGATAAATCCAATCAGCTCTTCCGACATCCGTTGTAAATAGAGTCTGTTAGGTAATGTTACCTGTTGGTGGCTCGATTATGGCAGACTATTATATGTTCACAAAAAGAACTTCTGTCTACGGTCAAATGATGTGAAAGAAAGTCTAAATGTCACAAAGTTTTTAGAACAGGGGTCACCAATCCCCGGGCCAGGGACCAGTACCTGGCCTTGAGAGTGGGAACCCCCCATACGCCGCGTAGATCGTCCCCCATCCCGTACGCCACGCGGGCCGCACCTCTAAACCAACACTAAAACCAAGACTAAACAAGAACTAAAACCAGCATTAAACCAGGTCTAAATTCGGGTCTAAAACAGGATTTAGCCAGGACTTAACCATGCTGTGCAGACCATGCATCATGCCTCCTCCCCCAACCTCCTCCGGTCCATGAAATATTGCCGGATATAAAACCAATCCAGGGCACAAAAATGTTGGGGACCACTGTTTTAGAAGACACTTTCTCTACACAAACACAACTTAACATATCAAAATGACAAAAAGACAATTCTCCCTGTTTACTGTGAATCCAGCCGACTCGGTCTGCATCGAACTAGCCCAAGTTTTTGTGTTTTGGAGCCCCGATTTGATTGGTCATTCCATTGCACTTTCTCGAGGTGGAAGTCTGTTTTCCCCGAGTCCCGAGCACAATAGAATGCAGCAAAAACTGTAATTTGTTTGGCAAAATACAGAAAAGCTGCTTAAAAATGACCAAAACATGAATAAAATGTGGCTCTACTGACTCATGTTAGTCATGAATGGGCCGAGTGCAGAACAGATTTCTTTAATTACGCCCTCATTTCAAAAATGTATTATTACCAGCCACCCCAAACCAAGCGTGTCCCGGTTTTTGATTTTGAAAAACTGGTCACCCTACCTTAACTAGCTTCTTGAATGCTCTTTATGGATAGAGGGAAACTAAACATCTCATTTACACAATCCAACAGTCCTTTACTTGTGTCCCTTGAACTGCACACGCTGAACTTCTTGGTTGGTTAAAATACAATGATGTTAAAAAACTAAGCTCAAAAAACAAAAATACTACAAAAACTGCACAGCCAGGCAATTAGGCTTAAAGGGACAGTCCGGAATTTTGGACATAAGACCTCATTTCCTAGTGATCCAGAGTGTTGGAGACGTGTGGAGACACTTTTTTAAATATTCCATCCAGTCCTTGTGTTTGCAGAGGTCACTGGTGTTAGACTAGTGCATGTCAATGGCCATAGTTATCCTGCCAATAAAAACAGTCTTACCCACTCCACAAAACACCCGAAACAAATCTATTATTACGCCAGACTGTCGATGTAAATGTCTGTGTCGATAGAATAATTTTAGAAATAAAACTAACCAGCAGCAGTGAGTTGTACTTCCTGATAGAAAGTTTGGGAGCGGCGGACTGATATATGAGAAAATAGTCCCACAACATGTGACGATTCATGCGATGCAAGGTTAGTTTAATTTCTAAAATTATTCTATCAACACAAACATTCACATTGACAGTCTGGCATAATAATAGATTTACTTTGGGTGTTTTGTGGAGTGGGTAAGACTGTTTTTAGTGGCAGGAAAACTATGGCCATTGACATGCACTAGTCTAGCACCAGCGACCTCTGCAAATACAAGGACTGGATGGATTATTTAAAAAAGTGTCTCCACACATCTCCAACACTCTGACTCACTAGGGAATGAGGTCCTGTGTCCAAAATTCCTAACTGTTCCTTTAATATCATACCATAGAACATTCAAAACAAACCAGTACCATCATGGCAAGAAGCAGGCAGCAGAAAAGTTCCACAGTGCAGCTTTAACTGTCTCTCTCTAACCTGTCTTCTCTTGTTGCTGCAGGGAGCCGGAGCACCAGTCCGTGCCGTACCACTACTACGAGCCTCGCGGGCCGGACGAATGCGCCATGTACATCTCCCACGAGCGCGGTCGCCGTGGCAGCCACCACCGCTTCATCACCGAGAAACGCGTCTTCGCCAAGTGGGCACGGACGTTTGACATCCACTTCTACCAACCGGACTGGAGCCCCCCGCCGCTGCCGGCCAATCAGACGGCGGAGGGGGCGGGAACTAGCGCGCCCGTTGGACCGCACAAAACGTGATGGCGACAGCGGCGAGACAAATACAGGGCTCTGATTTGTAAAAGGGTATAAACAGTCAAAGCTTTTCAACGAGAGAGGAGGAGGAACAGTGGGCGAAATGCATGCTGGGTAATTTCAGGGCCAATGTGTGTTTTGTTTATGAAGATTGCAACTTTACCAGCCAATCAGAACGCGGAGGAGGCGGGACTAAGGCAACTGTTGGATTGTAAAGCTCAAAATGAAGACAATTAAACTGCATAAGCTCTTTTGTAATAGTATAACGCTTTATAATTCACGCTGGGTAAACTCCAAGATAATTTGTGAACTGACCAATCAGACGGCAGAGAGGACGGCAACTAGAAAACGTAAAGGTGACACCTGTAAGACAAATACAAGGCTCTGATTTTACGTCACAAACCAGGAAGACGTTAGGAAACATGCGATGTCAACTTCCGGTGTAGTTCCCGATCACTGGGCTCGCCAACCAACTGTGATAAAACCCTAAGAAGTAAATGTGATCAGCGGTAAAATGAAGACTGCATAAGTATGTGCTGTTTGGAATCATCTTGAATTTCGCACCCTCGTCTCTTCTAATCGCATGTACCCGGTGCGCTCGGAGTTGTGGGTCAGTGTGGAAATGATGAAAACTGAGGTGTGGTTGTACCGTATTTTTCGGACTGTAAGTCTCACTTTTTTTCATGGTTTGGATGGTCCTGCGACTTATACTCTGGTGCGACTTATATATTCAAATTTTCAGACTGACAGCCGTGAGAGGCTCTAGGCTTGTGTATCTGTTTTCTGCGCATGTCTCCTGCAGAAAAAGCCACTGTCCTGTTGCAAGTAGTGAAATATGGAGCAGAAAACGGTAATTCGAGCAGCAGAAAGAAAGTTTGGAGTGAGCGAGAAACTTGTGAGGGAATGGCAGAAAGCAGGGATGGAGAACACAGCTTCACGGCAACCGGGTGGATGCACCATGCAACTTTCCTGGAAGTCACTGGATGGATCAACAAAGTGGACTGGACTTCAGTGACAACCAAAGTCGCACGGAGTTGCTCACAAGTGACACAGAGGATGAAGAATTCAATGGATTTAGTGATTTGGAGTGAATTAGAGAGTTTGGGAAACCTATGTTCTGTTGTTTATGTTATAGTTATCTGAATAATTGTTAATATGTTACGTTGACATACCAGACGCCTATTCAGTCTGTTGTTCTCTGTTCTATTGTTATAACTATAACTTGAATTTCAAGATAAAACGTTGGTTCCTGGTCCTTGATTTTTTAAAATAAAGTTCCCCCAAAAAGTGCGACTTAGGGTCTGGTGCGATTTATGTTTTTTTTTTCTTCTTCATTACGCATTGGCTGGTGCAACTTATACTCCGAAAAATACGGTTATTGTTGATTAGCCGAACATAATGGAATGCTACAATGACATGGAGATGAAAAACCTGGGACATTTTCTCATTTTTCAAAGAATTTGTCAGACTTACTTCAGCAAACAGAGCCCGTCAGAAGTTGTCATCACATGTTTCCAAACGCCTTCCTGGTTTGTGACGTAAACAGGAATAGAGCCTTTAATCCAGGGGTCTCCAACCTGTAGCTCGGAAGCTACAAGTAACTCTCCACCCCCTTCCTAGTCGCTCGCCGAGGGGTTTCTGAATTACACATATTGTCCTGAATAAGTAAATTAAATTCCTGTTACCATTATACATGTATTATTTGATGCCTACCTTTCTACACTATTAAATGATAATGGTTTATGTTGATTTGCATCTAACTGTACCTCGTCGAAGGCTTTCCATGACTCTTATATTTACTCCATTTTTTGTAATCAATAAAACTAGAAGTTCTCCAGCATTTTCATTTTGTAAAGGTACTTCTCTGGAGGAAAAAGGTTGGAGACCCCTGCTATAGAGTGTAAACAGTCAATGAAAGATGACCTGAAGTGGGCAAAATGCATGCTGGGGTGAATGTATGTGTATTTTTGATGACTGAACTCAAAGGAGGCGGGACTAAGGCACCATTGGATCAACTAAACAACACCTTACGATACAATTCATGCTGGATAATCTGCAAATCAGTGTGTAGAAGTTTACCGGCCAATCAGAGCGCTGAGAGGGCGGGACAATCGCTTCCATCGGGCCGTGAACTGAAGATGGAGGAAATGTAGAATATACATGTTGCTGTTAGTCGGGTGTGGAGGGATGGAAGTGATCTAATCCATGTATCGTTCGTTCATTCATTTTTCAAAATAAAACCAAGAATAAGAAAACGAAAAAAACTACTATTTTCTTCATTATTTGTCTCCAAAACCAAACGGATAACGATTTGTTTTTTCAGTTTTCGATTTTGAGAGAAGAAAAGGTTTGTGTGAATGAAACAAAACACAACTCCAGGTCTGATTTTGATAAGGATACAAGATTTTAACCTAATGCTTCAAACTTTTAACCAAATCTTAACTTTAACCATAACCTGTTTCCTAACTTAAAGCTGCATTGTGTAACTTTTTGTTTTGGGCTCCATCACCTTCTTATTTCAATGGATATCTCATTGTTCGGCCTGGAATGTTCCACAGTATGACATTAAACATTTCTACTTTGCATTTGGGTCATTCCACGCCATTTCACCAAATGGCCCACGCACTTCGATCTCAAAATATAAAAAAATAATAAAAAATTAAAAAAATAGTCCCTTACTATCATGTACCAACCCTGTGAAGTTTTAGTGGTTTTCGATCATTACTTTTCAAGTTACAGCTCATTTAGTGAGGGGAGTATGTGTCAGTTTACGGGCTGAAAATCGCATAATTTTTTCTCGGCAGTTTTCACAGGTCGATATCTCTGTAAGTATCACACATAGAGGGCTGAAATATTGTAGGCTTGTACTGCTCTATTGTGTGTTCAATAACATCTATCGAAAGTTCGGGATCTCAACTCAATGTCCTTTTATATGAACTTAAATTGAAAAAAAAAAAAAAAACTCGTTCATTTCCGTGGCGTACCATTTTTAGCCCCTTTTTAAACCTACTTGTAGGTGTAGGAGACCCTTAATTTTTTTTGAGAATCAAGATGTACTAGGACTGTTAAAAGAAATCACCAAGGCAAGTTTATTTGTATAGCACAATTCGTACACAAAGTAATTCAAAGTGCTTTACAGAATAAGAAATACATTAAAATCATAATAAAAACAAATCAAAACATAAATAATCATGAAGAATAAAATTAAAAAAGAGAGACATAAATTGGAGAGGAGAGTGCGGAATGAAAACCTTTCAGTCATATGCACAGTTAAACAGAAATGTTTTGAGTCTGGATTTAAACAGCGTCACAGAAGAGTCTGTCTCACATGTTCAGACTGTTCCAGGTTTTAGCTGCATGAACCTGAAACGCTGACTCCCCTTGTTTAGTCGTGACTCTGGGCACCAGCAGGAGGCCGGTCCCTGAGCTCCTCAGAGTGCGAGATGGTTCATATGACACTAACATGTCACAGATGTACTTTGGTGCTACTTTGGGCCATGGAGAGACTTGTACAAACAGAGCTGCTTTAAAGTCTCTGAGGCACAGGAGCCAGTGCAGAGACCTGAGCACAGGACTTATGTGCTCGTACTTCCTAGTTCGAGTAAGGACCCGAGCTGCAGCGTTCTGGATGTTCTGCAGCGTCTCACAGCTCGTTTGGAGAGACCAGTGAGCAGAACATTACAGTATCTAACCTACTGGAGACAAACGCATGGATAAGTTTCTCCAAGTCTGATTTAGACAGTAAACCTTTGATTTTTGCTATGTTTTTTAGATGGTAAAAGGCTGCAGATGTTATTGATTTGATGTGGCTGTTAAAGTTCAAGTCTGAGTCCATTATTACCCCTAGATTTCTTGCCTGATTTGAAGGTTTTAGAGAGAGAGACTGGAGGTGACTGCTGACACTGTCCCTTTGTTTCTGTGGACCAAACACTATGACTTCAGTCTTGTCAGAGTTTAGCTGGAGAAAGTTGTTTTGCATCCACACACTGATCTGTTGGATGCAATGACCAAATGAGTCCACTGGTCCATAGTCTCCTGCTGCCAGAGAGACGTAGATCTGAGTGTCATCTGCATAATTGTGGTAGGACACATTATTGCTGCTTATTAACTGGCCTAATGGCAGCATGTAGAGATTGAACAACAGGGGGCCCAGGATTGACCCCTGAGGCACCCCACAGGTCAGGGCCATGTGATCAGGGCCATGTGAAACCAAATGTTGAAAATTTGAAATAGGTTATGTGTGAGGTTCCTGTTAAAAACAAGAAAACGCAACATGGTCCGATTTTCACATGTAATTTATGGCATGTGGGTAGTGATGAAAAAAAATTGAATATTTTTTCTTTGAAGGACCGGAAAAAGACCTTTCATATGGCACCAAACATATGTATTTTATGACTTCACTAAAACTTCACAGTGTTGGTACATGATAGTAAGGGACCAGCTGGTAATTTTTTCAACATTTTTAAAAAACATGATGCGTAAGATTTTCTGGAAATTTGATGAAATGGCGTGGAATGACCCGTTTATTCAATTACGGGTGGTTTTAAAGCTCAAAAATTCTTAGAAAAACAGGGATTCTGAGTGTGAGCGGGGTCGCCTCTCCGCAGATCTGACTTGTAACTTGGTCTGGTTTGGTTTCCATGATGGTAGAAAAGTTTAATGCCATACTGCGAAACATTCCAGACAAAGCAATAACATCTCCATGAAGAAAAGCACTTGACGGACCCTCCAGCAGGAAAGTTACACAATGCAGCTTTAATAAATTTACAATAGAAGAGTGCAGTTCAGAGCTTTACAAAGGTCGCAGACAAGGACGTGTGACCGAAATGCATGCTGGGTAATTACCAACCCCGTGTGCGCTGTTTTTGAAGACGTCGCGGGTTTGGGATTTTCAACAACATCATAACCCTTAAGAGCTGGCCATAGGAGGTAAAACATGCACCAAATGCATGCTGGGTAATCTGCGAGTACCTGAAGACTGCAGGGGACTGTTTATCGGAGGATTG